AGACTCTTAAAAACTGAGAACAAACTGAGGGCTGATGGGGGGTGCGAGGGAGAGGAGGGTGGGTGATGGGTACTGAGGAGGGCACCAGTTGGGATGAGCACTGGGTGTTGTATGGAAACCAATTTGACAATAAATTTCATATTTAAAAAAAAAATTTTTAATAAATAAAAAATAAAAACCTACCCATTCTTTTTAATAGCTGCTTCATATCTCACTGCATAGACATATCATAATTTATGTATCTAGTCCCCAGTGATTGACATTTAGGTTTTTCCTATCTTTTGCCATATTAAAAAAACAGGGGGTGTTTGGGTGGCTCAGTTGGTTGAGCACCCAACTCTTGATTTCATCTCAGGTCATGATCCCAGGGTCATAGGATTAAGCCCTGCTTCGGGCTCTGCACTGAACATGGAACCTGCTTAAGATTCTCCCTCTCCCTCCCTCCCTCCCCCCACCCCGCTCTTTCTCTCTCTCTCTCCCTCTGTCCCACTACCCCACTACCACTCTCTGTCTCTTGCTCTAAAAAATTTAATTAATTAATTAATTAAGTCTTGGGGCACCTGAGTGGCTCAATCGGTTGAGTGTCCAAGTCTTGATTTAGGCTCAGGTCATGATCCCAGGGTCACAGGATCAAGCGTCCCATTGGGCTCCTCACTGAGCGTGGAGACTGCTTGACATTCTCTCTTCCTCTGTCTGTCTCCCTTTGCCCCCTCCCCATCTCCCCCTCTTGTACTCTCTCTAAAAAAAATACTATAATGAACATCCTTGCACACATGTCATTTCATACATATGGAACTATGTCTGTAGGATAACTTCCTATGAGTATAAAAGGCAAAGGATATGTACAATTTTCCTTTTGATAAATATTGCCAAATTCCCCTGTTGAGAGCTTGTATCAGTTGACCCTCCACCAGCAATATATAGAGATAACACAATGTTAACAAAATTGTTTTTTATCTTTACCAATCTAATAGATGAAAAAGGGCATTTCAATGCAGGTTTAATTTGCTTTATTCTTATAACAAGTGAGGGTGAAGATATTTTCATGTGTTTAAAGTGGTAATGTTTTGGACTGTCTGTGAACTGTCAGTTCATATCCTTTACTATCTCTCTTTTGAGTTGCTGGTTCTTATTGATTTACAACAGTTCTTTGTATATTAAGAAAATTAACCTTCATCTATGATAAGAAATAAAGTTTTTTACCTGTTTTTTGACTTCATTTATGGCGTTTTTCCATCCAAAAAGAAATTTTTATGTACATGAATTTATCTATCATTTCTTTTTGGGTTTGTATGATATTTAGAAAGGCCATTTCCACTCTGATATTATTTTTTAAGTGATAGATCAGATGTTACTATTACTGAGAAAAGCTGGGAAAAGCTTCATAGATAGGGGTGCCTGGGTAGCTCAGTTGGTTAAGCGTCTGACTTTGGTTCAGGTCATGATCTCACAGTTTGTGGGCTCGAGCCCCATATCAGGCTCTGTGCTGACAGCTTGGAGCCTGGAGCCTGCTTCAGATTCTGTGTCTCCCTCTCTCTCTGTCCCTCCCCAACTTGTGCTCTGTCTCTCTCTCTCTTAAAAATAAACATTAAAAAATTTTGTTTTTAAAGATTCACAGATATTCCCTACTAGTTTTGCAACTTTATGAATCTAAAATTATTCACACAACAGACTTATGTATAGTAAAACAAATACACTAAAATGTTAATAGAGAATCTAGGTGGTGTGTACAAGGGTGTCCATTGTACAATTCTTTAGATTTTCTTGATGTCTGAAGTTTTTATACTAAAATACTGGGAAAAGGGCACTAAATACTTCTTGTAATTTCATGGTTTTATTTTTTATATTCAAATTTTTGATTGAGCTGATACTAATTTTGGTACAGGGTTAAATTTTTTGTTTTAATTGTTTAAGGTATACAAATAAAACTCAATTTGCTGGATTGGAGAAAATGACCATTGTAAACCAATATGCTTTCCACCTGGTTTTTTTACTTCATTTACAAAATTTCAGTCTTCAATGCATCTGAATCTTTTCTTTTCTATGCTGATAGGATCATACTATATTTTAAAAGTCGGTTTTTATTTATTCAAACCTAATTCTTCTTTGTTGGTTCTTAATAAACACATGATTATCTCTTATATTCCAGGCTTAAAGGCCACCATTAAGTCATATCTTATCCTTCTATTTTCCAGTTTCCTTAATTTTCCTTTTATGCTTTATTTTCCCAACCCTTAAATAACTTCGGAACTATTTTTGGAATCTTTCCCCCGAGTTTTTCCTGGAAATTTTATTAATTACACAAAAATGATTACTTACAACAAGTTCCAAAACACCATCTCCTTCATCAGCATTTTCTATCATAGTGGCTCCAAATCCAAGCTCTCGGATGAACTCAGCTATCACTGGGGGTTGTATAACAGCAGGATTATATCTTACTTCTGCCTTGCCAGCCATCAGAGCCACAAGTACAGAATATATTCCTGGAAGCATTGATAAGAAAAATAACTGAGATAATATCCTTATAAAAAGAGGAATGTTACAATAATTTCTTCATTTGTGAAAGGATTAAAGTGAATCTAGAAAAAATTATTACTTAAATGTTATACAGTCTTGAACCTAAACCAAATAAAACTAGTTGAAAGAGGGCCTTATTTTCTGAAACTTTTTATTATGGACAATTTCAATTATACATATACAAAAGAGAACAACATAATAAACTTTATATAACCACCACCCAGTTTCAACAATTATCAATAATACTGGGGCTGATCCTATTTCATCTATATTCCTATCCTCTTACTTACTGCACTCTACTCTGATGGTTTCGAAGCAAAACCCGCATAACATATCATTTCACATGTAAATATTTAAATATGTATCTCTAAAAGACTCTTCTCTCAAAAAAAAATCCATAATACCATTATCACACCTGAAGTAAGTCCTCAATATCACCAAATATCCATGCAGAATTCACATTTCCAGAATTGTCTTATAACTGTTTATTTAACACAGTTGTTTTTTTGAAATGGGATCCAAATCAGACCCATCAATTGCAACAGGTTGAGACCTTAACATGTAATTATAGGGCATTTGTAGAAACTAATAAGACCTAGAGAAAGGAACTCATGCACTTAAGGAAATCACTGCAATTATAGTAAGGAATCTAAGAATGTACCAACATGCATATTATAACAATATCAAATAAAAGTCATTTCTTAAGATTATCCAATTTTACTGTCTGGCACACACTAATATAAAGTGCTCTTATTCCTAGGGAGAAAGTGCCATACAACTTGTTAACAGAACAAAGGAGTTCATTTTATGGCAGTCATCCTGTTTTCTCATGCAAGCCTTTTATTAACAACCATCCTACTTCTCTAGGCCAGCTATTGATGTCATTTCTAGGAAGAAAATTAATTCTGCATAGCAAAAATGACAGCTCTTTCTACGAATCTGTGGCACTTGGTGGCTACCTGACAGGAAATGGAGATCAACAGACCATAGGTCAACTGTGGAGTTTGATAAAAAGAAAATAATATTAATTTAATCATAGTTTTAAATAAGAAAACAGAGAACCTATATAATCTAAGTTTTCTATATAAAGTACTTACACTCTGGGCTTTGTGGATACCAAATAATTCAGAGGATCAGCTCATAGGAAAGTGTCAGTAAAAGGAGTAGGGTATAAAGAAAGTAGGAAAAATCTTTTTGTTTCAGTGGATATAATCTATAGCCAAATAGAAATAGAAGGGAAAATCTGACTTTTCAAAAATAGGTTTCATACTTACATAAATTATGGATAATTTTTAAACTCTTACTTTAAATTATAATTACAACTCTATTCATTTTCAGAAATATAATGCAAACTAAACTTAGAGATGACCAGTGTTACTTAGTTTTTAAAAAAGTGAATATAGTGATCCCAGCTAGGCTAATGGTATTCCTAATTGGGTAAAGAAGTGATAAAAGGGAGAGTGGGGAGTAACTAGAAGAATCAGCACAATGAATTTTTAAAAAAAGATTCATAATTGGTATAGGCATTCTTGTCTCATGAAAAAGGCTATTTCTGAATTGCCCAAACATAGTTGGTTCTGAAATTAAACAGGAACCTTACAAACTTCTTTTGCTTTCATATGTTTGCAACCTCCCTCCTTCCCTGTTTTAATCAATTGAAGTGTAATATAAGCTTTAGCCTCAACTGCATTCTAACTAGATAGAATGGAGACTGAAATGACATGCAAATATGACACAATGCAGATAAGGTTAATAATGGAATTGCCTCTGTATAACAACATACATTTTGTTATAAAATTCTGGCCTTTATATAAAAGGTGATTCTATGGGCCACAGGTCTGTATTATTATTATATACTGTGAGTTATTTCCCCACAATAGAGGGAATAAGCTGATACTAATCTTATTTATTTGGCCCTTGTGACTAACAGCATGTATTAAGAAACCTGGGACTAGGGCTGCTGAAGTACCAAACCTATGATTTCAGTTTCATTAAACATAACCGCATATATCTATGGCTAACAAATCTTATGCCACAGTATGAAGTTTTATATGAATATGACTTCAAACTTATAAGGTAAAACATTTGGGTATGACTGAATAAAAAAAGTACACTGTAAATTTTCTAAGATTTTGTAACCTAGCATTAAAATTTATCACAATAACTTTTTAACATTTTTACTGCAAAGATCAGTGATCATACTGTTGGAAGAGAATAATATAATTCTAAACAAACTTGGTTTTGATCTGGTTGGTTCAAGTATAGTAATATTGAAACTTATGGACTGTAGTTATTTTTAAGCATAGCTTTATCAGAAAATTTGTATGTTTTTCTTAAAATCCATTGCAACCAAGGTCCATAGAGAATAGTAAACTTAAACATATATTTCCTTCTGCTATTTTCCTACACATTTCATTGATGTTAAAATGTGATCATGAGGTAAACAAGATAGGAACCATATCTAAGGGAACAGAACACAAAAACTGGCTGTCAGAGAGTCAAGGTTGTCCTGCACATCACTGATATAGAGGACTTCATAAGGCCTTGGCAGGAATCACAAAAATTGTTACTAAACACCTGAAAGATCAAAAAAGGACAGTCTTCAATTCAGCACACAAAATAACAGGCTTCAAAAGTGTCTCACCTTCTTCTCGTCTTAAATTCCGTTCAATGTTTGCTACACAGGAAGCACAAGTCATACCAGTGACCTGTATATAACACTTAGACGAAGGCTTTACTTCCCCATCGTGAATTGGTGTCATTGTTTTAGTATAAAATTCATTAGTTGAGGTCAAAAGCGGCATTTCTGATGAGGTCTGAGCTATTATTACCAATGGCTCATTTGTATCTGGTAGACAGGGAAAGATTCTTTTCATTTAAGATATTCTTTAGTTGCATCCTTGTCATTCATCACAATCCACACCTCCAGGTACTGTCAATCCATTCGTTTAAAACCAGCATGGACTTTACACTTTCTAGGAAGTGACTTCAAATACTGCCCATCCCAGTTCTTTGGATCGGAACTAACTGAATAAACAAAACTTTGGTTATACCAAGTTCTTCTAGCTGTTTTCTCTACTGAAAACCCCAGATAAAGAGTAGTTGTTAATGGGCAGCTCTTATTTTTATAATGAATTTTTATCACCATGTTAATGATTTGCATACTACATTAAAGCAATTCATGATACAGTAAGTGGAACAAAAAAGCAATTTACAAAACAGCATTGCGGATGTCATTTAAAAAGTTTTTGTGTATATGTATATATGAGACTAGGCATAAGAAAATCTGGGAGGCTACGTTCCAAAACATTAATGGTGGCTACTTCTGGGGAATGGGGTTAAGGCAGGAACAGAATGACAAACACACACATTTTCTCTACAGACACTTCTGTATTGTTTGAATTTTAAACACTAATATATAGTATATTTTTTTCATTTTTAATTTTGTTAAATATTTATTTTTGAAAGAGAGAAAAAGACACAGAGCATGAGTAGAGGAGGGCAGAGTGAAGAGGGAGACACAGAATCCGTAGCAGGCTCCAGGCTCTGAGCTGTCAACACAGAGCCTGACTTGTAGCTCGAACCCATGAACTGTGAGATCATGACCTGAGTCGAAGTCAGTCCCTTAACCGACTAAGCCACCTAAGCCCCCTTATGGTATTTTTTAAATTAAAATGTCTTTGTGGACAATGGAAGAAAAGACAAGGAGAAAGTCAGCAGTAACCTTCATTTTGTGCAAAGGAATATTTGGAAAATCTCTCCAAAGAATGTTTATGCACTGTGGAACAATGGGAAGCTCCTATCATCCAGAAATTCCCCTGCAGTCTCAGAAAATCTGCTATTCTGTTTTAAGTTTATCCACTGAAGTATTAATCAACTCTAAGAAGGGAAGAGTTATTCTCTCCAGCACACCCGTGCACATGCAAAGAAGCTCAAGATGTTATACTCTCCTGCAGCGATAAAGAGGAAAAGAGGTGATGTGGAAATTTCCAGGTACACCTATCTAACTTGTTATTTATTCCCCTTGGGCAAAAAAACTGGTTCAGGTCTATTTGGCTAACCCACAGAGGAATCCCTGCATAGAAGAGTTGGTTTCCATATGCCAAAGAGGACATCTTTTACAGAAACTTTAAAAAAAGCCTAACCATTTTCCTAATAAATAATGATCCATACTTCCCAAATCAGTATAATAATGGCTGTTAAATTTTAATGCACACACAATAACCTGGGGGATTTTCTTAAAATACAGGTTCTGATTCAGGACATTTAGGATGGGGCCTGAGATTCTGCACTTCCACCACATTCCCAGGTGATGGCACTACAGCCAGTCTGGATATAGTAAAGGACATTAATCACAACTGACTAGATACTTCCAATTCCAAAATTAGTCAACCTCTGGTCTTAAGAAAATCAATTTTGAAAACTATACTCATTCATTCAGATTATGAGAGCATTATTAAGAACTCAGTAAAATTTACCAACTACTACTGTTATCTTAAAGATTTCAAAAAGGAAGCTCATTTGCCCAAAGGAAATAGCTTTGGCTTTGAAAAATAAAACATTATTTCAATCCAGCCAGGAGTTTATTTCATTCTCTCATAATTACTATCAAGACTTCATATTGAACTTAGACACTAAAAAAAAGTTTATACTGCTAGTTACTTTAGGTCTTGTTCCAGAGTAATTCCGTTATTTCAGGTACCAGAGATAACCTATAATAAAATCTGCAATTTTCACACTCTGGAAGGATAGTACTAAATTAAAATAAGTCATGGAGATACTCCCTTTTAGCTACCTTCGCATGACCTCTCAACAAAGATCCATAAAATTGTGCCCTTTATACCCCAATGAGTGTGGCAAACAAAAGAGCAAAAACTTCGATCTTCCACAGCAGAAGTGCAGGTGTTAAAAAGCCACACTGAATTAAATGGCTACTCTTCTTCAATTAGATTTTCTATAGCCTGTAGCAACACTACTTATGCTTAAGTGAATTCAAAAGGAAGGAAGGTTGACTTTCTTGCACTCGAGGCAATAATCAGAAAAGATTCCAAAAATTTCAAGAAAGGGTTTCCAATCTAATCCTTATAACTAGGATCAATGTGTGAATATGAAGAACACATAATCAGAAAATAGATTAAAAAGAATTTAAAACATCATTTCTGCAATGCACTCTCAAATGACTCAGAAAAAGTGTGTGTGTGTGTGTGTGTGTGTGTGTGTGTGTGTGTGTGAAGAGAGAAAGAGAATAAAACAAATGTAAAATATTGACAACCAGGGAATGTGAGAGAAATTGGTAAACAGGAATTTTTTGTATTGCTCTTGTAGCTTTTCTGTAAGTTTGAAATTAAAAATAACAAAGTTTAAAAAAGGAAAAGAATTTGAGGGTTTTTTTTGCTTTAATTGGTTAATGAAGACTTAACTTCATATTTGTCTTTTTCAGAGAATGATGAGATTGATGGTCATGATAAAAATATACCTCCCATGCCAGGGTGGTTCCATATTTGCAAGTCAACCAATGTGATCCATCACATCAATACAAGAAAGGATAAAAACCATATGATCACTTCAGTAAATGCAGAAAAAGCATTTGACAAAGTACAATATCCATTCATCATAAAAACCCTCAAAAAAGTAGATCTAGAGGAAAAATACCTCAACATAATAAATGCTTTATATGAAAAACCCACAACATCATACCCTATGGTGAAAAACTGAGAGACTTTTTCCCCTAAGATCAGGAACAAGACAACGATGTTTGTTCTCACCACTTTTATTCAAAATAGTACTGGAAGTCCCAGCCACAGCATCAGACAACAGAAAGAAATAAAAGACATCCAAATTGGCAAGGAAGAAGGAAAACTTTCACTGTTTGCAGAAGACATGATACTATAGAGAAAACCCTACAGTCCACCAAAAAACTACTAGAACTGATAAATGAATTCAGTAAGGTTGTAGGATACGAAATCGATGTACAGAAATCTGTTGCATTTCTATACACCAATAATGAAGCAGCATAAAAACAAATTAAGAAAGCAATTCCATTTACAATTGCATCAAAAATAATAAAATACCTAGGAATAAACTTAACCAAACAGGTAAAACACCTGTACTCTGAAAACTATAAAATATTGATGAAAGAAATAGAAAACAACACAAAGAAATGGAAAAACATTCCATGCCCACGGACTGAAAGAATAATGTTAAAATGTCTATACTACTCAAAGCAATCTTACACATTCAATGCAATCCCTATCAAAATACACATATTTTTCACAGAACTAGAACAAACAATCCTATAATTTGTATAGAATCACAAAAGACCCTGACGAGTCAAAGCAATCTTGAAAAAGAAAAACAAAACTGGAGGTATCACAATACCATACTTCAAGTTATATTACAAAGATGTAGTAAGAAAAACAGTATGGTACTGGCACAAAAATAGACATACAAATCAACAGAAAAGAATAGAAAGCCCAGAAATAAACCCACAATTAAATGGTCTATCAATCTCTGACAAAGGAGGAAAGAATATGCAATGGAAAAAAGACAGTATCTTCAACAAATGGCATTGGAAAAACTGGACAGCTACACACATAAGAATGAAACTGGACCACTTTCTTATACCATACACAAAAATAAATTCAAAATGGATGAAAGACCTAAATGTGATACCTGAAACAATAAAAATCCTAGAAGAGAACACAAGTGGTAACTTCGCTGACAATGGACATAGCAACTTTTTTCTAGACATGTCTCCTGAGGCAAGGGCAACCAAATGAACAATAAGTAATTGAGACTACATCAAAATAAAAAGCTTCTGCACAGCGAAGGAAACAATCAACAAAACTAAAAGGCAACCTCCAGAATGGGAGAAGAGATTCGCAAATGGCATACATGATAAAGCGTTAGTGTCCAAAATCTATAAATTCTATTATCTAACTCAACACCCAAAAAACAAATAATCCAATTACAAAATGGGAAGAAGACATGAACAGACATTTCTCCAAAGACGACACAGAGATGGCCAACAGACAGATGAAAAGATGCTCATCATCACTTACCATCAGGGAAATGAAAATCAAAACTACAATGAGGTATCACCTTACACCTGTCAGAATGGCTAAAATCAACAACACAAGAAACAACAGATGTTGGCAAGGATGTGGAGAAAGGGGAACCCTCCTGCACTGTTGGTGGGAATGCAAACTGGTACAGACACTGTGGAAAACAGTATGGAGGTTCCTCAAAAATTAAAAATAGAATTACCCTATGATCCAGAAATTGCACTACTATGTATTTACCCAGAGGATACAAAAACACTAATTCAAAGGGATACATGCACTGCAATGTTTACAGCAACATTATTTACAATATCTAAATTATGGAAACAGGCCAAGTATCCACTGGTTGATGAATGGATAAAGAATGTGTGGTATATATATATACAATGGAATTTTAGCCATAAGAAATGAAATCTTGCTATGTGTAATGACATGGATGGAGCAAGAGAGTATAATGATAAGGGAAATAAATTTGTCAGACAAAGACAAATACTATATGATTTCACTCGTGTGGAATTTAAGAAGCAAAATAAATGAAGAAAGGGACAAAAAGAGACAAATTAAAAAGAGACTCTTAATTATAGAGAATAAACAGTTGGTTACAGAGAGGGTGTTGGGAGGATGGGTTAAGTAGGTGATGGGGATTAAGGAGTGTACTTGTGATGAGCACCAGGTGAAATATGAATTGTTGAATCACTATATTTTACACCTGAAACTAATATAACACTATGTTAACTGTGCCGGAATTAAAATGTTAAAAAATTAAATTAAAAAAAGAATTCACCAATGAAGAAAGAAAACACCTCACATTTTTCTCACTGTCTCTTTTAACTTTTACAATCCACCCAGGATTAGAATGACATAAAGACAAAATGTGCCAACCCCTCTCTGTCTGGGAAGAGGTTATAGTGATAGACTGTGAGGCCAGATCAGCACTGACAATGACATTCAGAAAATGGGTAGCCACCATTCTGATGGCATTTTAAACTATGATCTCTAGAAGAAATATAGAATGCAATCATTTGATATCAACCTTTTATCGTAAAAATATGAGTCACCATAGTCACAACTCTATCAGTTCTTTTATGGTGACCCTCATTGTGCCAAGGTTTTTTACCTATTCATGATGGCGTTTAATGTGTTTGTTATGACCCCTAACACATGTAAGGCACATAACAAGCTCCTAATAATTATTCGTTGAACAATTAATTCCTGGGACCCTTGAGTTGGTTGAGGTAAAAACCATTGTTAAAAGTTAATGAATATGTTGTATTCATGAATCCTGAGGGCAAGGTAGAAGACAGACATAGTACTACTAGAAACTATCAAGTACTCTTGAATTCCACTTACTAGTCTGACCAAAATTTCTCCTATTGATCGAGTTCATCTTTGAAGCCATGTAAGGTAGTTGGAAAGTTGCTTTTACTCTGCTCACATCGGTTATATAAAAATTCTTTTTTTTTGAGAGAGAAAGAGAGAGGGTGCAAGTGAATGAGAGGCAGAGAGAGAGAGAGAGAGAATCCCAGGAGGGGCAGAGAAAGAGGGGGCCGGGGAGAGAGACAGAGAGAGAGAAAGGGAGAGAGAGAAACAGGGCTCACTCAAAGCGGGGCTCATGTTCACCCAAAGCAGGGCTTGTGGTCAATCATAGTGGGCTTGAGCTCACCCAAAGTGGGGCTCAAGCTCACCTAAAGCAGGGCTCCAGATCACCCAATGTGGGACTCGAACTCACCTACCATGAGATCATGACCTGAGCCAAAGTCAGATGCTTAACAACTGAGTCACCTAGGCACTCTGTTACATAAAAATTCTTAAATGCCATTTTAAATTGTATCATTTCGTATTATATTATCATTGTATTAAATGAAAAATGTTAATATAGATTTAATTCAGAGTTTATTTATAGAGGTCCATGCAGCAAATTATTTACACCAGTGCTTCTAAAACTTCAGTGCACGTATGAATTACCTGGAGAGCTTATGAAAATCAAAATGTAGATTTTTATTTAATGGGTGTGCAGTGGGTCAGAGAGTCTACAGTTCTATCAAGCTCCCAGAGATGCTGCCGCTACTGCTGCTCTGTGAACCATTTTCAGCTGCAAAAATACAGACCCAAATGAATAGGACAAATGCCATTTTGGGGTCCAGTCTAAATGTCTGTGAGATTCCTGCTTACAATAATACCAGATGCCAGATTTGACTGTAAAAAAATATTTCCCTTTTATACTATATGTGGTATGAGTTGATATGATTTGAGTTCCTATATTTAAGAGGCATAGGCATAGAAATAGCACAGTGTAAGTAACTTGTTTGATTGATATTGACGTAAGCCAAACTTACTTATATGATGTCCATAATGCATTATGTATGGCAAAGTATTTTAGTTTAATAGAAACTCTGAAGAATAATTCAACATTATGGGTTAGCAAAATGTTAATCAATTTCAAATACTGTCATTTTGAAAATTTTAAAAATTATAAGCAATGACTGACACAACTAAATTTTGTCAAAACTAATCTTATTCATTTTTTATGGCTACCTGATATGGTTTCACTTCAATATTTCCAATTAAAATTATGCTTCTGGTTTCATAATTATTTCCTTTTGCAATTATGGATTTTCTATACTTTGTTCAAATTTTTAATACTGGAGGCTTTTCAACAGTTCAGTATTCTATATTAATTTTCTAATAAGGAATTATGTATCTCTCTTTTAGAGCAAAATCATTCTGGTCTTTTGAGATTTTCTTTATTAAAGTGAGAATTCTAGGTGGCAATGTAAAGTGGGTCAACCACTTTGGAAAAGTATGGCAATTCCTGAAAAAGTTAATCCTATTCACCCTATGACCCAGAAATTGCACTCTTAGGTATATACTCAGGAGAAATAAAAACATACATTCAAGTAAAAACTCATACACAAATGTTCATAGCAGCATTATTCTTAAAAGCCAAGGATGGAAATAACTTTCCAAATTTCCACCAACTGTTGAATGGAGAAACAAAATTTTATATACATATATATTACATATATATATGTATGTGTGTATATATATATATATACATATATATATATATATTAGCAGTGACTGCTAATGGGTACAGGGTTTCTTCTGCAGGTGATATAAATGTTATAAAATTAGATAGTGGTAACGGCTGCAAAACTCTGAATATACTAAGAACCACTGGATTGTATACTTTTAAAAGGGTGAATTCTGGGACACCTGGGTGGCTTAGTCATTTAAGTGTCTGACTCTTGATTTTTTGGCTCAGGTCACGATCCTAGGGTCATGGAATCAAGCTGTGCATGGGGCTCCGCACTGAGCACGCAGCCTGCTTGAGACTCTGTCTCTCCCTCTGCTCCTCTCCCCAACTCTCTCTCTAAATTAAAAGAAAAAAAAATTTTTTTAAGAAAAAAATGAATTTTATGACATACAAACTATATCTTGACATTAAAAAGTGAGAATTCTATAATTTCTACCATTTGTCATGAATATGAAAATCAAGAATAGTTAGTATGTCTCTGGGTCCTCTTCCACTGATATTTATCTACCATAATAATTTGAGCATGTGTTTAATATAAATTTTTATGCTTCTCAGTTTTATTGAGCTTGAAAAACAAATATTGTTACTTGATATCCTTCATTCTGATCAGAATTGCAAAAGTTAATAACATGGTCTAGAAATTAGTTATACAACTTTTCTATTTTATTTACAGCAAGAAATTTCATTAGGGCATTTCCAGTTTAATTCAAGGCTAGATTATATTGTAGTTTAAAACAACAAGTGGGGCACCTGGGTGGTTCAGTCAGTTAAGCTTCCGACTTTGGCTCAGGTCATGATCTCACAGTTCGTGGGTTTGAGGTTCACATTAGGCTCTGTGCTGACAGCTCAGAGCTTGGAGCCTGCTTCACATTCTGTGTGTCCCTCTTTCTCTACCCCTCCCCCACTCATGCTGTCTCTCTCCTTCAAACATAAATAAACATTAAAAATAAATAAAACAACAAGTTCACATAGGCAAATTCCATGCACTATTCATTTTTGGTTTCAGTTCAAGGTAAGAGCTGTCAGGAAATAGAAAGACTTTGAGGCAGTTCAAGAGTCAGTTTCATTTGAATGCCTAAATTTAAAACTACAGTTAAAATTCTATTATTTATTTCTACCTTTTTTCTTTTCAAAATAGCATTTGCTTCTCCCATCATACATACATATATCCTTGTCACATAAAACTTAAAACACATAGGAAAGCACAATGAAAAAAATATCACCTTTACCCTACCACTCATATAAATAACCACTGTTAAAATTTTAGTTCATGTCCTGCCAGGAATTTTGTTCACTCATATACATAAATAATATATACATGGTATAAATCCTTATACATGTGTTTATAATATTTTGATCATGCTGAATATACAGATTTTTAGCTTTTATTTTTTCATTTAACAAAATATCTCAGACACTTTCCTGTGGCATTAAGTATCTTTAATACTCTAATTTTTTATGGCTTCATAGCATTTCAGCATATGGATGTATCATGATATAATGTTTTTAGTTTTTAAATATTGTAGATAATTATTCAAACATCCTTAGGCATCTTTGTATACACTGCTGACTACCTCTATAAGATTTACTTCCAAAAACCAGAACTGAAGTGCCTATTGCTCATTATTTATTATTGATGAAAGCCAAAGAATCGAAATTAGAAGATAAAAAAACATTAAGGGAATCTGAGAAAAAAGTAATAATTACCTGACAAGGCAGCATCAAATCCCATGTCTTCTATTGCTTCTCTCAAGGTCTCTGGAGAAGTTAGTAGAGGATCATACTCAACAGTCCCATTGCCATTTGCAAGAGATACTCGTATGGATTTTACACCTGCCTTTTTTGATATGACACCCTCAATAGACTGCACACAAGAATTACAAGTCATGCCACCAATGTTTATCACAGTTTCTTGAGTCAGAGGATGGCTTACTGTGTTCAAAGGAATCTTTTGAAGAGATGAGCTGGAGGGAGAGTTTGAGGTACTTTCAACTTCACTTGTAATACTAACTTTGTATTTCCCTGGTGAGATGGCCTCTATTGCTTTTCTAAGGGTTTCTGGAGTGACTGAGCTTGCATTGTACTTCACTATGGCAGATCTATTCTCTAAAGAAACTACGATGCTGCTTACATATTGGAGTGTAGATAAAGCACTTTCAATATTTAACACACATGATTTACAATGCATGCCATCTATAATGAAAGTGACTGTTGAATCACTGCTATATGATGGACTCCTTTGCTGTGGTCCTTCTGAGGATTTGACTGGTGTATTCTTTAGACGTTCTATATCAATAGCTCCCAATTTGAGGTACTTGGGCTGTTTTTTGATGAATGCTGGAAAGCCCACGGCTTCAATCTGTTTTTTAATTTCCTCTGCTGTGATAAGATGAGGTTGATAAACAATAGTAGCTTCTTGGTTGTCCAAGGAGACTAGTTAGTGAAAAGAGAAATATTTAATTCAGTTATTCTTAGGCCACTTCAGAAAACATTCTGTAGTTTTCAAATCAATACCACACAAAATTGTTTCTCTGTCTTCGCTGTCATTAGCTTTTCTTAAGATAATTCTGTTTTCATAAAATGTTACTGACACAGACTAGAAAAAAGTAAAAAAAAATATGACTACTTTATCTATGGTCTCCAAGTTTCTGCATGCCTGAACAGAAACAGATTAGAGGTAGAGAGGACCCCAGGCATGTTGAGTTAAAAACGCTGAACTCCATGAACTGCCACCCCAGCTACATTTTCTGCTAGTTCAAAACCCATGTAGTTTTTAATTATACATTAGCTTTACCCACATTAATCCTGGGAATATGCACACTGTACCTCAGACTTCAATGAAGCAGTAAGTATTCTAGTCTGTGGATTCAAAACCCATGCTTAAGAGGAAAGCAAAAACTTAAAAGGCCAAAACAGAAAGCTAATCCTTACAAAACCAAATACCACCAGATATATTACCTTTAATTCGCTGAACACCTTGCAGCTTCCCAATTTTTCCTTCAATAGTGCTGGTGCATGAATGGCAGGTCATTCCTTCTACTTTCATCTTCAGCATGACTTCACCTACTTGAGCCATACTATAATCTTCACAAGTTCCTGACTTTTTCTCCAGAGTTCCAATATCTAAACTGAGATCCGGAAGCAGCTCTATTATCTGATTGGCATTCAGAATAGAAGGGATTATTGTCACCACTACAGTTCTTTGCTGAGGGGAAATTTTAATGTCTGTCACACCCTTGGTCTTGAGCAATATGCTTTGGATATGGTCCCATGGCAGAGCCAGTGAAGCAGCAACAGTCAGAAACACAGTGTCAGTTAAAACAGGGACAGGGTTAGGATTGTGGAGAACAGCATCAAAGCCCATGTCATCAATAGCTTCCTGGAGGGTCTTTGGAGTCTGTAGTTTAGGGTCATAAATAATAGTTGCATTTTTTTCTTCCAGTGAAACCTTTTGGAAGAGAATTTCAAAAGTCAGTTTAATTCAATTTTATGACCTAGAACTTAAAAAGTAGCAATCATCATGCCGCATTCAAGAAGAATGGGACAAATAATTCAACCAAATGGAGTTTCTCTATTAGTTCTCATCTTTACTATTCTCTTTGGAAAGAAACAAAAAAATGTCTTCTGTACTTATAGGAATGATAAACTTGTATGTAGGTGTATGTGACTCAGCTACTGATTAGGCATTTGAAACACACACACGGACAAACACACCCTGGAATTTTACAACAGAGCACAAACAACTCTTTCCTACTATCTCCTTTCACAAATTATTCCAATACTTCACTCTCTATCAATTCAAAGATAATAAAGAAAACAGGATCAGCTGCAGAAAATAAAAGGTGATATGAAGTTTAAATTTTAAGATGTTTGATTAAAATAACTTTGTTCGGAAGAAAAGATATAAACATGCTACTGTGTGATTAAAGGCAATGATAGGATTTTGTAGCATATACTCCTATATCCTTCTAAGTCCCTACAGCCTAGTATTACTTTTATTCAAAATAAGAACATCTTTATTGCTTCGCCTGATTCAATGATAAAAATAATGATTATATTCCTAAAGCTCAGCTACTGTATATAATTTAACTACTACCATGACTGCATGCATATCTGGCTGACATCTTACAAAAATTAATGGTGTAGTCATACACACAAATACATGTGCACACACACACACACTCACTGGGTTGGGAGTCAGAAGATTTGAGTTCCATTGTCAACTCTCCACTTATTAGTCAACACATTCATTAATTCTACCATCTGAAAAATTGGGAAATATGCCCTATAATCTTCTAGAGTTGTTATAAGAGCAAATAGATAGGAAAGTAGTTCTTTGCAGCAGTGAGTTATATAAAGGTAAACACTGAACAAGTAATATTTATCAAGCTCCTATTATATGTGCCAGGAACTAGGATTCTCAAATACAACGGTGAGCATGACACAGTCACAGGGAGGAATATTAGCATAGAAAATACAGTAAAGAGACATGTATTTATCCCTGGCAATATGGGTCAGAAAAGCCTTCTTAGGGGAGATAAGACCTAAATGTAAACAAACAAACAGAAATTAGCAAGAATGTATGAGGCAGGAATTCCAGACAAATGGATAAAGTAGATAAAGATGATAAACTGGAGAATGAGGCAACTGATTTACTATGGGGTCCACTTTATGCCAATAATGGTAATTCAGCCTATAGGTAATAGAGAGTCACAAAAAAAGTTAACAAGGGAATGACATGATTGTATTAGCATTTTAGAGAAGAATCATTTTGGAGACACAGCAGATGTGTGGGGGGTGGAATGGAGTGACACAGGATAGGAGATCAGTTAGGAGACTATTGCAATTGTAATAGTGGTACATATTAAGGCATTAAGGCATGAATTAAGGCATGAATACTGAGGGTAAAGAAAAAGGGGCAATTCCAAGATACATTTGGGAGGGCAAGAACTAGTAAGGAGATTATAGAGAGTAAAGGAGATGACTATGAGTTATAGGTTTCTGGCCTGGGCCAGTGGATAGATGGTGTTGCCATTAACTGTTATCAGAGAGAGAAGAAAACTGGAGGACGAGGTTGGAGTGGTGGGAAAAGAAAGATGATAAATTTAGTTTTAGACCCAACTGATTTTGAGAGACGGTAGGGGATTAATGTTCTAAAGGCAGTTAAAATATGAGCATTATTATTTTAGATTCCTGGTGAAAATCTTTGTTCCATAAATAAAAGCAACACCAAAATATAATTAAAAGTAATTAAAAGAAGGAAATCTCACTTTAAACTGTCAACAATAGTTATATAGTTAAATCTTTCTTCCTTTAGCTTGGTAATCAACGGCTAGGTATTTGGTGAAATCTTGAAATGCACCCCGGCACAGAAAAGATGCTTAGACTAGTAATTCTAGTTGGTTATCTTGATCTTAGTTATGGAAGAAACCACTAACATAAGTGATTCAAAACAGAAAAAGTGGGAAAATAATTTATATTTTGTTTTGGAATACACCACATAACATTTTCCATGAATAAGTTGCAGTATAGCCAAACCACATGCAGTTCCGACATATACTTTTGAAACAGATACAATACAAATATAGTCATTACAAAATGAAGGCTTTTGTGGCTTTGTATCTCTAAATAGATTCTCTTTCAAACTCTAATCACACTCCAATGATTTTTCTGATTAATAAAATTACTTTAAAAATTTTAAATATTCAAACTAAAGAGGAAGATGGAGAACAGATGAGGGGTGGGGGAGGAATGACTATAAAGGGGCTGAACAGGGGAGTTTTTTGACATGATGGGACTATGGTGTCCTGGTTGTGTTGGTAGTTAAATAAATATATAGATATGTTAAAATTCACCAAACTAAAAAAAAAATTACAGACCTTTATATCAAAAAGAAGTCAATTTTACATATGATAATTGTGTTTTAAAGAAAACAAAACTAAAATAAAAAAATTCAGTTAGTTGCATTAGCCACATTTCAAGTGTTCAATGGCCAATGTGGCCAAGTGGTTGCCATATGGTGCTGGGTATATATAGAACATTTCCATCATCGCAGAACATTCCATTGGACAGTACAGATCCAGGTACTACTATACTTTTTCTGATAAAGTACCAAACTTTTTAAAAAGGGTGTAGATTTCTTTTTTCCTTTATGTTTAAGTACACTGTATATGGTATCTCTTTAAAAAGATCTGGTTTTGAGATAATTTCCATCCCCCCAAAAATGTTAATTTACATATCCAATGAGAAACAATTCTTAAAACTGATTTTATGGGTGCATGGGTGGCTTAGTCGGTTAAGCATCTGACTCTTGATTTCAGTTCAGGTCATGATCTCATGGTTGGTGAGATCAAGCCCTGTGTTGGGCTCTGCACTGACAGTGAGGAACCTGCTTGGGATTTTCACTCCCTCTCTCTCTGGCCCTCCTCTGCTCGCATACTCCCCACCCTCAAGATAAATAAATAAACTTTTTAAAAAATGATTTAAAATTTTTTTAGTGTTTTATTTTATTTTTTGAGAGAGAGATGGAGATGGAGCATGAGCAGGGGAAGGACAAAGAGAGAGGGAGACACAGACTCCGAAGCAGGCTCCAGGCTCT